GAGATGAGTACATTTGGCTGAGTATACTCATCTAAAGCTGTATTATCCCATTCTTTCCCGATTGAGCAGAATTGAGTTTTCCTCTTAATTCTTGTTCATTTTTGTGCGCTGATGAGACGATAAAGGGAGGCTAAAAGTGCGATCCTGTCGGAATAGGGACAGCTTTTTATAATGTTTAACGAAGTGAAATGAAATGCAAAAATAAAACCTCCTCAATTAGTAGTGGGAAAAATCTTATACATTAAAATAAATTTACAGTTATTACCTTTTATCCATTACATTAAACTTGTTTTAAGCTTCATTTCAGTCTCATTATTACTTTGTAAGTATAAAGACCAAGATAGTGCGGCCTTGAGGTTGGCTAAAATCTCCCTTAGCTTTATAGCGTTGGTTTAGCCTCATTTTAGCAACTTGGTTTGAGCGACGGAGATACCTTGTGGACCGTACCTGATAATGTTGAAGATTAGTTCCAACACCTGACCGTTGACTTTGTGTCCTTGGGCATTTTTGCGGAATCGATTCACAAACCTCTGAAATGATATTGGCAATCGTTTTTATACTTAAAAAAAAGCCAGATTTAGGAGAAATCGCGATTTGCTCATACTAATGTCTGTATAACTGTGATGATTATCCGTTCAAAGATTGACACTCAAAAATATTCTTGAAAGTAGTCACTGTAATCAAGTGTGCAATCACAAACCAACAAAAATATGGAACTTTGTCAAAAATGTGATCCATAGGCCTGCGAGTGAATAGACAGCTAATTATGCACATCACGCGAACCGCTTCAGCAGGAAGGGTGAATGGATTATAAAGTAACTCTTAATCAATGATTAAAATAAATCATGGTACTAGAAATCTGATGACGGCCTGAAGGAAAATGCTTCTAATAAATATATATCTGATGGAACTATGCTTGGGCAGCTCTAATAATGTATGCAAGTGTATGGTACTGGTGCGGTATAGCCCCACTGCTTGATCGAATTTTATGTTGTAATATAATCTATCAATTCAACCGATATGCATAGGATAGTGTGCTTGAGGTAAAATTTATTTATATATCCTGAGGTGGCGCTTTTTGGGTCCTTTCTTTTGACTTATGTTTGCTTGATGTAATTGACGTGATTCAGTGCTATCTCGTGACTATGTGAGGCAGCTATGCATTAGTGATAATAAGTCTGAAGTTATTATTCTACTTTTATTACATTTATAAGTTTGTTTGCTATTTGACCGTTGGATCCACTAACTTATGCAGGAACTTTTCTATTCAGCTACTCCTTGTAAATGCTAAATATTTTATTTTATAGTAAGCTCATCTAGATTAGTCAAGTGTCTCTAAAGTGGATCTAACTTAAGCAAATGACGTAATTTTCTTGAAACAGTTTTATTTTCCACTTTTAAGCTATCTCATAGTTTAGTTAGAGAGCACAAAAGCAAAGGCAAGACATGCGAAAGTATGCGTTGTGTTAACTCTATTTCGTTGAGGTGAGGAAGGACTGATAGTTGAATTTTTTCACAGTTATATATGTAGACATTACGTTTGCATCGCATTTCACATATCCTTGCTTCTTAAAAGGTATTCTCATCCAAAGTGGACTGCAGTTTATCGAAAACTTACTTACAAACGCAAAATGAGAAAGCACTCTTTCTTCTGCATCTCTTCTTGTTTATTCTCCAGCTAAAACGCATTCATTATTAGTTTGATGGTATTTTTAATCAAGCCTAGAGGATCATTAGTATGAAGTATTATTTATTTATGACTATCTAGATGATTATCTAACTGGTCTCTATCGGCTAATCTTATACTGCAATTAATTATTTATTTTAAAATATAATCCTAATATGTGGCTAGTGTCCCTTCTAAGAAGCGAATTGATTTTCCACTTCTTCATTGCTTGGACACATTTTAAGACTCATAAGTTTTATCAGCGAGATCGTTTTTAAATGTTTGCATGTTTTTACGCCATTTAAATGGATCACCTTTTTTTCTAGTTAACTTGTTCTTTCCACGACAAACATTGCACAACAACTATTTGCCTCCAAAACGAACAGATTATGTATTTGCAAACACCATATGCTAAAACAATGTATCTACAGAATCTCAAAACCTTAGCCAAAATTTACTCGTATTAGCGAGGACTTCATTTGAATGTTCAAGGTAAATTATCTGATTTGAAATAAGGCCTTTGATAGAACTCTTATTCGAGATGTACTGATAGTCTCCAAACTAGTAATTATGAATATAAATTATCTTACTTGAAGATATGAGGACCAAGATGGTGTGGCTTCTGATATGGTCTCCTTTCGATTTATAGAAGTGAGTTGACGTCGTTGTCGCAACTTGGTCTCGTTGTCCGAGAAATCAGTAGAATGCACCTAGTCCGAAGTTGTCTGCCATAGTATTTGTCATGATTATCAGCATCAGACAATAGATTTGGTACATTCTCAAACGTTTTGCCGAAATCGTAATAGGCATCATTAGTGAGTTTTTCTATTCTACACACCAAGCCATGTACTCGTCAAAGAGACAAATAAAGTCAATTCCTCGAAAAACGTTCTACCGAAAACGGTTACACCTATCTGACTTTTTTAAACTATTTTAATCGTTATGGTATCACTCATAAGTTCTGTGGCCTTAAGAGAATACCACCAGGCTTATATTCAGAAACTAAGTGATACATGTTTTAGAGAAATGAATAAGCTATTTACGTTTATAGATATTAAGTCAAAGCTCCGGCGTGATCTGGCCAGAATTCTGTCTCCTGAAGACTTTCAAATACTCCAGAGCATGACTGACATGAAATCACGTAGGATTTCTGACTTAATAACAAAACGGCATGACGCTAAATTGTGTAAGTTTGGGATTATATGATGGCCTAAGTTATAGCCAGTACGCCCAGTTTAAGTGCCTTCTGAGGTGAAAACACCTACTGATCAGCACGGTGATCGGAAGAAAGTATCAAATTTATCATCAATTTCTCTAAATCCCGAAACAACCGCGTTCCTGGGAAGATCACTCCGTTTTTCAATTTAACATCACAGAAGCCTTCTAGGAGACATTCTGGTGGAGGTTATCAATATCTCTGACAAGTTCCCTGAGTAGACAAATCGGGAAATGGAGATGGAACTAATTCCAAAGATCTTGATACATCAGGCGCCTACACACTGGAACAGATTTGCCGTGATATGCAAAACCCTGTGAGCGAATGAACAATTAGTCCTTCAGGCGGACAAGAGAGTAGCTACAGTCATAATTGACAAAAAAACAATATACCGAGAAGATGGAACAACTTCTACCAGACTGGACCACATATCGTATAGTAAACAAGGACCCAACTATGAAGATTAATAGAATCTTAAGTGCTATGCTGAAAGATATTCATAGAAACGGGGAAATTGACGCATGGACAATAAATTCAATCATAAGAAAGAATGCACGACCACCAACAGCATGCGGATTACCGAAGATACACAAAAAAGGCGAGCCACTAAGGCTGATAGTCAACAACAAGTATGGAGCAACGCACAAATTGGCAAAGTTTATATATTTGAAACTCAATAAATTTAATGAGGGGCTATCAGATACGGTGAAACATTCAAATGTATTTTCTCAAAAAATAAAAAAACATGGCACTTGAAGAAACGGACTTATTAATAAGTTTGTATTTGGAATCCATGTATTCAAATTTCTCTGAAGAAAATGCGCTATCGGCCCTGTTGGAAATCCTGGACCGAGAGGAGGATATCCTGAAATCACAACTGATCAGTAGGTAGTCGTTAACACGACTAGTCAACTTGACAATAAGGAAAACCTATTTTACATTCAACGAGAACATCTATGAACAAACATTTGGACTTCCCATGGGATTGCCGCTCTCATCACTTTTGGCATACTTATACATGAACAAAATAAAAGAGAACTTAAAGATGGCACCGCTACAATCGGCAGTACCTGGATGATTACTTCGCACTTTGGTTAGAGGGAAGAGAATAACTGGAAGAGTTTCTGAAGTTTGTAAACCAGATTGATGAAAAAATTTAATTAATGGTGGAAGTAGAGTAATGTGAGCGGAGAATGGCAGCACTCACTGATGATGCCGACTACGATTCCGGCTAAACGCTTGAGAATTTACAAAGTCCACGGTCTGATGTTGGGAATTATGATGACTACTATGTCAGAGCACTTCGGACTAGGTACGTTCTACTAGGTCTCCTGGACAACAAGACCAAATTGTGACAACGAGGTCAACCCACTTCTATAAATTGTCTAAAGTTTATATTCCATCTTTTATGAGTTGTTACTCATCCTCAGGTCTTTGTGAGAATTTCAATATTGCTCATTTTAGTGCCACAAGTGAAATATAAACAATCTCTTTACCTCTCATAGCCCATCATCAGACATTCTACCAAACAAATGAGCTCTGTTTTACTAATTATTATATATTTATAATTATGATGCTTTTCCGTTCTTTCCTATTTAGCCCTACATGGCCACCCATATCGTCCGGGCATGAGCACACGAGGCACTGGAGCTCGCATCCCTGGGGCTGCCGCGCTTGTTACTCCGATTCCTAACCGAGGTCATGACGGACTTGCCTCTACCATTGAGGCTCCGGTTTCGGCTACCCCCATCTCTATATCTTCATCTCATTCAGCAGAATCAGCATCCAACTGCCCTGATGCGATTCTATCTGTAGGCTTGGCCAAAGAATCTAAATCGCATAGCATAGACTCATTGGCTACTGCGGCAACACGTCTTGCAGCTGCTTCTGGAACCGCCGTTGCAAACGTCGATGCTACTGATGGATCTGGAAAAAATGCACCTCACGACGTTAGCTTGGACGAGCTTCGCAGTTTGGATGGATTCGATGAAGATGATAATGATGAGGACTTCTTCGATGCTGAGGAGACAATGGCTGACTTTTTTGTTACACTTCCGCGCAGCGCCGAGGAAGCTCTAGCTGAAGCCGCCAGGGAGCGGGAGTTTCGAGCGTTGGCTGGCGCCAAAGGCATGCGTGATAACGACGCCAGTGGAGACGAGGAAGATGATGATGAGCTAGATGAAGACGTTGAGGCTGGTCAGGAGGCTGGTGATATGATGGATCACATAATGCATTCAAACGAACAGCGCAGTCGGCACAGATGTTTACGCGAGCCCATCCCTATTGGCATTGATATTAGCAAAGAATATGAATCGGATGTTGGAGACGCTTCTTCTTCCTCAAGCGCTATTTCGGATTGGAGAGGCGGGTTCGTTACAGGGACTGGAGCCGTAGGAGGAATAGGTCTTGCTTCAGAGGGACGCGGAGGGTCTGAATTGCGCAGGAGGTCGCAGCATCGACTTAGAGAGGTGCATGTAGTCCAGAAACGTGGAAAACGAAGCAAACCTGACAGGTTGGTTGGAATGCACGTGCGCTTACTGTTCAACTACGCAAACGAGTGCTTTATTTGGGATCTTATAAACGTATATAACAATAAAATAACATTTTTTTATATCTAAATATTGATTCTGAGCTGGACTTATATTGTTATTTTTGGGGGACAGAATAACTATAAATAAAAATGGTAAAATAGAACATTAAATTTATGGAAATATTTTTACTTTATTTGCTTCATTTTCCCAATCTTCAAAATATCATGTTGCTTATTGTTTCCTGCCATGAAAAAAAAATTATTTGAGAAATTTGCCTCAAATTTCTCTTCCTATTGAGGTGTCTACACTATTTTTAGA